CTCGGGTGCTCCCCCCGCGACCTGCCGATTCTACAAAGAGCTGGATGTGATACTTGGGGTTAACCCCACCTCCACTCCAAGCACCACCATGGACACTTCAGAGCCGGTGGGGGGGGGGAGGAGGAGGGAGGAGGAAGAGGAAGAGGAGGAGGAGGAAAACGGGAGTGATGGTGGTGGGCCGGATGGAGACACCCCGGAATCCCTTGAGCCATGCAGCCAGGAGCTCTTCTCGAGCCAGAAGGAAGGTAGCCAGTCTCAGCGGCCGGTACTTGGTGGAGGACAAACAGAAGAGCAGGTTCCTGGTAAGCGGTTTTTTTTTTCGGGAAGGAATTTTTTCGGTGCGGGCTCTTTGGGAGAGGAGGGATAGGCATGCATGCCTAGATGCGGAATAGTGCATTGATGTGGTTTATCACATCGCGGTAATCAGCCTCGGTAATCTCCTCGAATGTCTCATGCAGAACGTGGGCAATGCGCTTGCGCAGGTTTATCGGGAGAGCCACCGTGGTCCTTGTCCCAGCCAGGCTAACGTGTCCACGCCATTGTGCCGCGAGGGGCGGGGGGACCATTGCTGCACACAGACAAGCTGCATATGGGCCAGGGCGGAAGCCGCATTGCAGTAGAAGACCCTCCCTTGCTTCCCAGGTCACCCTCAGCAGCGAGATATCATCCAGGACGAACTCCTGTGGAAAATGTTGGGACAGTGTTCAGTGTAGGTGCCCCCTGAAGCTGTTGGCTCTCCCCAAGGCACAGAAACCGAGAGGACAGTGCAGCCCTGAAACAATCAGTCCCCCTTACTCACCATTTTGAGGCTCCCGTGGGATGTATGCGCTCTGTTTCGGACGGGAAAATTATGCTATTGTGTAGACCCTGTGTGTTTTCTACTCCTTGAGTGCAGGGGGGAATCATTACTCTGTCTGGTATAAACAATGCTGCCTCTGTTAAATGTTGCATTTTGCCTATACAGCTGCATCAACCTTGAGACCTCAGCCGTCCCTCTTATCACCTGCTCAGAGACTGCAAAGACTCAGGAAGAGACCGTGAAAAAGCAAAGAAGACATGCTTCAAGAAGTGATGCGGCAATCTATTAAAGAGAATGAGAAAGCACAGAACTGGAGGGAGAGAGAAAGCAGGATCCGCCAGGAAAACGCAGCACACCGGCGGCAAAGCACGGAGCACCGGCAGCAAAGCACGGATCAGCTCATAAGCATCCTGGAGCGCCAAGCAGACGCTATCCAGGAGCTTGTAGCCATGCAAAAAGAGGAGCAGTACCGCAAACGCAAACGCCACCCCTCCCTACAGCCCTTGTCCCAAAACTCTTTCCGTTGTGCCCCACTGTCACCTCCAACCCACTTTCCCCAACTTCCGTGTTCTTCACGCCACCCGCTGCCTCCATCACCAGTATCTTCACCACCCAGCCCTGAAAACCACGACCCTTACCCTCTGCACTAAACCCCCATCACCATGCAGTATAGCTATCCTGAAGTGCAGCACTCACTGCATAGCACACCAGACAGGACATACGCGAATCTGTGATTGTACCGTTCCCCACTCCACCCCCTTGTTTCTTTTCAATAAATGGATTTTTTGGTTTTGAAAACATTCTTTATTATTGCATAAAGTAAAAGACTCCTTAGCCCAGGAAATAAACAGGCACTGCAAGTCTGCTTGTCTGCTTAGCAAACACTGATTCCTAAAGATTGGAACTACTGCACTTCACTCCCGTGCAGGGCACCAGATATCACTGCTGGTTTTCAGCCTCAAATTGCTCCCTCAAGGCATCCCTAATCCTTGCAGCCCCATGCTGGGCCCCTGTAATAGCCCTGCTCTCTGGCTGTGCAAATTCAGCCTCCAGGTGTTGAACCTCAGAGGTCCACGCCTGAGTGAAGCTTTCACCCTTCCCTTCACAAATATCATGGAGGGCACAGCACGCGGATATAACCGCTGGGATGCTGTTTTTGGCCAAGTCCAGCTTCCCATACAGAGATCGCCAGCGGGCCTTTAAACTGCCAAAGGCACACTCCACAGTCATTCGGCACCGGCTCAGCCTGTAGTTGAACCGTTCCTTGCTGCTGTCAAGGCTCCCTGTGTAGGGTTTCATGAGCCACGGCATTAACGGGTAAGCGGGATCTCCAAGGATCACAATGGGCATTTCAACTTCCCCTACCGTGATCTTCCGCTCTGGGAAAAAAGTCCCGGCCTGCATCTTCCTTAACAGCCAAGTGTTCCGAAAGATGCGTGCGTCATGCACCTTTCTGGGCCAGCCTGTGTTAATGAAACGCCCACGGTGATCCACAAGTGCCTGGAGAACCATAGAGAAATACCCCTTCCGATTAACGTACTCGGATCCTAGGTGGGGTGGTGCCAGAATAGGAATGTGCGTCCCATCTATCGCCCCTCCACAGTTAGGGAACCCCATTTGTGCAAAGCACAAAAAAAGGGGGGGAGGGATAGCTCAGTGGTTTGAGCATTGGTCTGCTAAACCCAGGGTTGAGAGTTCAATCCTTGAGGGGGCCACTTAGGGATCTGGGGCAAAATCAGTACTTGGTCCTGCTAGTGAAGGCAGGGGGCTGGACTCGATGACCTTTCGGGGTCCCTTCCAGTTCTAGGAGATAGGATATCTCCATATATTATTATTATTATTATAAAGCCATCCACTATTTCCTGCACGTTACCCAGAGTCATGGTTCTTCTGAGTAGGATGCGATTAATGGCCTTGCAAACTTGCATCAACACGATTCCAACGGTCGACTTTCCCACTCCAAACTGGTTTGCGACCGACCGGTAGCTGTCTGGAGTTGCCAGCTTCCAGATTGCAATAGCCACCCGCTTCTCCACTGGCAGGGCAGCTCTCAATCTCGTGTCCTTGCGCCGCAGGGTGGGGGTGAGCTCCTCACACAATCCCATGAAAGTGGCTTTTCTCATCCGAAAATTCTGCAGCCACTGCTCGTCATCCCAGACTTCCATGACGATGTGATCCCACCACTCGGTGCTTGTTTCCCAAGCCCAAAAGCGGCGTTCCATGGTGCTGAGCATGTCCGTGAATGCCACAAGCAATTTCGTGTCGTACGCGTTACGCGGCTCGATAGCATCGTCGGACTCCTCACTCTCACTGTCACTTTGGATCTTAAGGAATAGTTCGACAGCCAAACGTGACGTGCTGGCGAGACTCGTCAGCATACGCCTCAGCAGTTCGGGCTCCATTTCCCGCAGACAGATCGCACTGCACAGAAACCGTTGAAAGATGGCGCCAAAGGTGGACGGAAACAAAGGGATTTCTGGGATGCAAAGTGATGCATCACGGGGTGTTGGGACAGGACCCAGAATTCCCTGCACCCACGCCCCCTTCCCACAACCCACGGTGTCAGAATGGGAAAAAGGTGCTCTGTGGGATAGCTGCCCATAATGCACCGCTCCCAATAGCGCTGCAGTTGCCGCAAATGTGGCCACGACAGTGCGCTGGGCAGCTGTCAGTGTGGACAGACTGCAGCGCTTTCCCTACTCAGCTGCACGAAGTCAGGTTTAACTCACAGCGCTGTACATCTGCAAGTGTAGCCAAGGCCCTAGTGTATATACAGTACTCAGGTTTGCATCCTAGCTATCGCTGGTCCTGATGCTTGGTAGCCCTCTTGAAGCCTTTTACATGTAATTTAAACTACAGAGATGTGATGGAGAAGTCTACTAACTAAACTTGCTTTTAAGTCCCCCACACCCACGAACTCTATTCCGTGGAAGAAGCTCAACATTTTCCTCTGCTACCCAGCCTGTATAACAACTTGGTTCAAGTATATTGGAAAAAAGACTTTGGTAGAGCTGTGCTAACTAAATGTCTGGTGGTGATTAAAATATGTTCTGCAGTTTAAAGTAAATAGCTTATGGTTAAAGAGTCTTTGCTTTTTCTGGGCTTGTGATATTTAATACAGGCTTTAAAATATGTGAAGTCTAGTAACTATTTAAAAAAACGTGCTTACAGCCTTTGTGTGACTCCTTTTAAAAATCTGGTTTCTTTGTGCTGAAAACCCAGCCTGGACTTGGATTACTTGTTTTTTGTAATCTGTAAGGTGCTACTTTGGGCTGGTCTACACTGGGGGGGGATCGATCCAAGGTATGCAACTTCAGCTACGCGAATAGCGTAGCTGAAGTCGAAGTATCTTGGATCAAATTACCTGGGGTCCAAACGGCGTGGGATCGATGGCCGCGGCTCCCCCGTCGACTGTGCTACCACCGCTCGCTCTGGTGAAGTTCCGGAGTCGATGGTGAGCGCGTTCGGGGATCAATATATTGCCTCTTAACGAGACGCGATATATCGATCCCGGATAAATCAATTGCTACCCGCTGATACGGCGGGTAGTGAAGACGTACCCTTTGATTGCATGCTGTAGAAAGCAGGTCAGTGCTTTCAAACTAGGCTGTTTAAAGTTAGGCCCCTAAATCAAAATGGCCTGGTTGTCAGAGGTGCTAAGTAGCCACAGTTCCCACTGGAGTCAGCGGTGGCTACGGGTGCTCAAGCACACTGCAAATCAGGCACGTCTACGCAGGTGCCCAAGCATAGCATCAAGTACTGTCTTCGGCACCCTCGTTGGAAAATGTTGGCCTCAGTGAACAAGGATCATTAAAAATTTGAAAAGGTGTTTCCCACAGAGAGAATCTAGCTGCTTCCTCAAAGTTAGTTAATGGGCATGTTTAGTTGGGGATTGGTCCTGCTTTGAGCAGGGGGTTGGACTAGATGACCTCCTGAGGTCCCTTCCAACCCTGACATTCTATGATTCTATGAAACTGGTAATGAAATGCTTGTGTGCGGTTCTGCTGTCATAAGATATGTCAGTGTGAAAGCAAGCAGTATTGCAGTTTGAGCATTTCTTTTCTTTTGCTTCTTTCTTCAGCAACACCTACCGTATGATTGAACAAGACGACTTTGACATTCACACGAGGTTGCACACCATAGTGAGAGGCGAGGATGAGGCAGCCATGGTGGAGTCGGTAGGCCTTGCGTTAGTAAAGCTACCGGATGTCCTCAACCGTCTGAAACCTGACATAGTGATCGTTCATGGGGACAGATTTGATGCTCTGGCACTGGCCACATCTGCAGCCTTAATGAATATTCGGATTCTTCATATTGAAGGCGGGGAAGTCAGTGGGACCATAGATGACTCAATCAGACATGCCATAACCAAACTGGCTCATTTCCATGTGTGTTGCACAAGAAGTGCAGAGCAGCATTTGATATCCATGTGCGAAGATCATGATCGCATCCTCTTGGCTGGCTGTCCCTCATATGACAAACTTCTCTCCTCCAAAAATAAAGACTACATGAGTATTATACGTATGTGGATAGGTGTGTATTGCACTTCTGTTCAAAGTTCATAAGATTTCTGTAACAGGCAGACATGCCTTTTTGTTGGCATTCTCATGAAGCTGAGACAGGATTTTATGAAGGGTATAAGCACATTTTGACAATGCTCTTCTATCCTCTATCTCCCACCACAGAAATACATATAGACCCAGTAAACACAGACGTAACTGAAAACCTTAGTATGCTGTCTTTCAATAGAATGTTATTCCCTATGTCTTTTCCCCTGCTCTTTTGAAAGCAAAATATCCATGTCCTCTGCCTTTCACACTTTAAGGAAATGTGCCTATTATTTTGAGAACAAAAGCTTTTGGTAAACCAAAAGGAGGAAAAACAACATAAAACTTTCAAATGTTATCATACCACAATAGTCTGTTTCCAGGGCAAGATTAATAACAAGGCCAATTTGTCTGTAGCCTGGAAGACTGAGAAATAGAGGCTCCAACCTCACATATTATTTAACATAATTACATCCCATCAAATATCAGATGTAATGCTTAAATATTCAGGGGCCCCTTCCTCTCTAGAGACCCAAATGTCACATTTTGACTGTGTTGGTTTCTTCAAGAAACTCCTTCATTTCTATAATTTCCATTCTCGTATTTGTAGTCAGGAGAAAGTAACCCTACATGACCAAAAAAAGTGTAGTCAGAGATTGTCTTTAACATCTAAAACCCTATTGCTGAGTCAAAAAACAAGAGTCAAATTTGCTGAGTTCTTTGTTAAAAAATAAATTAGAACTCAGAGCTATTTCTTTGATACACAGAGGTTCAGAATCCTTTATAACCAGACAGCTGGGAGCAGGTCTGACCTAATAATGTTAGAGATTGTGCATGGAGCTAATTTGCAGAAAATCAAGGGAATTTACATGCTGTACATTGTTTCCTGCACAGTACAATACAGTAGCATGATATATTTCAGAGACTTGTGCTCTTTGTCATCCGTTTACTTTCGGATCATTCCATATAAATCAGCATATCTTGTTGGTGTTTGACTGGAAAAATTCTTCAGCCCCTGTCAATTGGGAACTGGGTTCTTGTTAGTTCAATAGTTTAGTCATTTTCAGAATAAAGTAAAATGAACCGGCTACTCTTTATAACAAGTGAAGTATTTATGGTGGTCACTCTCTCATTTCTTTTAAGCAAATGGTGAAAAATCCATCCCTTAAGGCCCAGAAGACTCTCAGGAAACCTGAATAGACTAATGGATTGAAAGGAATACATGATCACAATGAAAATCTCAATCAGATCTGCCTGTTTGCTGTTGTGCCACAGCCTCAGGGTCAAATTCTGCTCTCATTTACAATAGTGTAAATCCAGAATACGTTAATTGGCTTCAACTGAGTTAATCCAGTTTTATGCTGGTGTAACTAGGGGCCTCGGTCTGCGCTCAAAGTACTCTTATAAAGTTGTAGGACCCAGTACTGCAGTTGACTCTGTGCTGTAGCCTTAGACAATAGCAATTGTTCAGAGTCTTAGTTACAGTGGTAAACTTCAAACCCATATTCTCCTGTCACTCCCTTATGATCTCTTGTAGTATTGGAGCTCGTGCTAGAAATCAGATTTGCTGTCTAGAACTTGGGGAGGTTTTTGTTTCAGTGGCTTCAGAATCATTCTCCCACCACAACCACCACACTGCTAATAAAACAGTCTCTTTTGGGCTCCCTTTAAACAGGTGAAGATGTAAAACCAAGAGATTATATAGTCGCTCTGCAGCACCCTGTGACCACGGATATTAAACATTCCATAAAGATGTTTGAACTAACGTTGGATGCACTTATCTCCTTTAACAAAAGGACACTAGTTCTGTTCCCAAACATCGATGCAGGTGAGTGAAACAGGTACTTTGTATAAGTGGTTTGGTTTTTATTTTAAACTGGTGAAGAATTGCCCTCCAGATTTTCAGAACTCTCCATGAGTCACTTCACCCTCTGTCTCACTCATAGACCTCTTAATCCACCTGCTTCCATCCTTGTTCATTGCAGGCCTCCCATCTGACTTCCTCTTTCCTCTCTGCATCTTCACTTGTGCTACTTCATCTACCCACATGGAGGTAGCTTAGTGATCTAGGTATAATGTTTGAACTCACTGGAACTGTGTGCTGAATGCAGGATCACCTTCACCCTTCAATCTTCTGAGGAAGATAAAGGGAAAGCATTGCAATTTTGGGGTGACAGACAAGCTATTCTGCTTGCCCACGGGCTCTAAAATGTTTAAAAATATAATAGTAATGAAGAATAGTTGGATCTCAGACTCACAGCTGGAACCCTATGCTCAATGACACAGCTTTGAAGAGTCCTGTGGAGGGCGGGTGAGCAAAGAGTGGTTGGGAACACGTACACAGAGCTGGTGGGGGCAGTCCTAGGAATACCAGTCCGGCTGTTTTCACAGTACTTCTGTGTTAGCATCAATGACAGCAACTAACATGTCATTACAGTGTATACAGTGGCCCCTTCAGTAGCCATAGTGAAAATTCAACTATCAGTTAACATTTTGTTCTCAATTGTTGGCTTTTTCCATAGGAAGCAAAGAGATGGTTCGGGTGATGAGGAAGAAGGGCATTGAGCATCATCCCAATTTTCGAGCAGTAAAGCATGTTCCGTTTGAGCAGTTCATTCAGTTAGTGGCACATGCTGGCTGTGTGATTGGTAACAGCAGCTGTGGTGTTCGAGAAGTGGGAGCGTTTGGAACCCCTGTCATCAATCTGGGAACACGTCAAATAGGAAGAGAAACAGGTATGTGTTTGCTGCTAAGTTCTCTGCTAAATTAACTTCCTGGGTGTTGGGTATGGTCATGTGCTTGCATCATTACAGAAGGTAAAGTCAGAGTTTAACAAGCATGTCAGTTTTATTTTTAATGGACATTATCACAGCAGGGACATTTTGACCTATCCGAATAACTTCATTGATCTGTTCCTTCTGTCCTGATGATTTTTGTAGAAAAGGCTTTTATCCATAGTCCAACTAAAATAAATATATACAGTGGCTTCCACCTGCCAGAATAAACCACTGCACATGTTTTCTTTATGGGTGTAGGTACATGTGACAGGCATAAAACTATGCACTCTGGAATGATCCTGCAATTTTAATATACACATACACCACAACCAGCAGCAGGTATAAAAAGCAAATGTATAGTTTTTCTTCACAATCACACAGGTGCCTCAGATAAGACAGGAATAACAGTTTACCCTCCTGTTCTTCTCTGTGTTGTTCTTATATGTGGGAATTACACTGGAGTTAATAAGAATTCTGTTCTCTAAGTGCTTCGCAGGCAGGATACTGTATCATGACAATGTTGCTATTGACTTCAGTGGGAGCAGGTCCTAACAGAGCAATGTCAGCGTAGCATCTGCATGTAAGAAGATGACACATACAGAAGTAGGGGCACTATGTGCACATAGGTCATGTTCCTTTTGAGTAGGTGTGAGGCCTTAACACATTTTGCCAGGACACACAAGTAATTGCTTGTTCATTTCAAATTCTGTTCTCTGTTCTCTTCTCCTCCCACCCCCCATTATTTATCAAGTAGCTGGCATGCACTAGAATGACATTGCATTTTTGATTATCTAGGCGAAAATGTTCTTCATGTTCGTGATGCTGACACACAGGACAAAATACTACAAGCTTTGCATCTCCAGTTTGGACAACAGTATCCTTGGTAAGTACATATATCCGCCCACTACTCTTTAGGGGACCAGAGAAAAGGCCCTTAGTTAGTACTGGGGTGGAGAATAGACTTCACCACATTTATCCAAGGTTAGCTCCCCACTCTAGGAAGAAATAATCATCTTAGATGTCTTACTACATACAAAGGAAAGCGGTCTGTGAATCTTAGAATCATTGTACAATGTTGGCAGCTTGGAACTCATACAGCAAAGCTCTGCTGCTTGATGTCTAGGATTCAGTGTCAACGTCGAGCATTCTTTAAGAAAAAAAACAAATAATGCTGTAACCTCACGGAACATGGTTAAATGAGAGCCCAGGGCAAAAAAATGATGGTAATTCCACACTTGTGCGACCTGTAGCTGGATAGCCCTTAACCCCCTCCAGATTGCTAAAGCATCCAACACATCCCGTGGCACACTCACAGAGACTTGAAATGCATTATCATGGCAGATAACATGTTATAGTTATTAATAACCTTTGAGATGTGAAATATGGTGGCCTTCTATTTTATAAGTGCTTTACAGACTTGCTGTTTTACTTACACTATAATTGGTGCTTTTTTGTATTACAGCTCAAAAATATATGGGGATGGTAATGCTGTCCCAAGAATTCTGAAGTTCCTCAAATCGATTGACCTCAAAGAGCCACTGCAGAAGAAGTTCTGCTTCCCTCCTGTAAAGGAGAACATCTCACAAGATATTGACCATATCCTAGAAACTCAGAGTGCCTTGGCTGTGGATCTAGGTGGAACAAATCTCCGGGTAGCGATAGTCAGTATGAAGGTAAGTACTATTCCACGCCTTTAATAATGTCTGTAGACACCACGGTATTCGATGGGAAAGTACTGCATTGGGGATAGTGCAATGCAGTACTGTCCCAGGGGGAGATCCTAGGTGCGCTGATGACATGTGCCTGCTGCTGTGCTCCTTTATGGACTGTCCAGCTGGCCAGGTCTGCCGGCCAACGTGGAGCAAGGCAAAGCCATGATCCCACTGGCTCCTTCTGTCTGAGGGGCCATGCACCCACAGGGGAATAGGCGGGGAGCAGTTCCTGCGCTTCCCTGAGCACAGGGACTACAATTCAGCTTGTGCCTTTATATAGACCACACACAAGGGGAGAGACTCCTGGTGCCATTTTCCTCACTTCCCACACCACCCCCTCATATACCTTAGTAATGGACATGCAGAATATCTGAAAAAAAGAAAGAAACTAGACTCCAAGGATAATTCACTGAAGAAGGAACGGATAGTTCAGGTCATGTGATAGGGAGTTTTTCACCTCTGTCACCAATGAAAACACAGCTAGGCCAAAAGTTGTTACTTTCTGATGGCTGTTGGACCAACAGCAGGTGATAGTTGTTCTCCATTTGATACCTGAGAACAGGAGCCCAGCACTCTAAACCATCATCTGAATAGAAGGCAATTGGCACCCAGGCTGGAATTCTCAGAGAAACCCAGGACTGCATGAGACTAACCAACCCCTTTCTCTGCTAAAAGTGATTGTTCCAGAACACATTGAGGCATGTTGTGGGGTAGTGTGGGGAAACGTGCACCATCACAGCCTGCGTGGTAGATGTTCTGTGAATAAAAGACTTCAGTCTCCAGGGCTGTCAGCCCATCATCTTTCACCACCAAAGAATTCATGGAGCGTAGAACATTTTTCTTTGGCCTAGACTTGCGTGGCTTATACACAGCTAGCTCATTTAAGTGAAGTTTCCCAGAGTGGGCGGTATGCCCCTGGGGCTGGCATGAAGAACTAGCCGGGGAAGCACAAATAGGCCTCTCAGTTGTTTCCCAGAAACGTTAGCATTAATAAAAAAAAAAAAAAAAAGTGTCTAGCTGTTCTGATTGTGAAGAAAACCTTGAAAATGTGATCCAGGCGTAACTGATGAAGAGATGTTTGCAAAAAGCCTGAAACAAGAGCTTGGAGGTGTTAACTGCCTCATTCACTTGACTGGGTACAACTCAGGCACCAATAATGATCCTTTAAATTTGGTCACTATTGTTAACGATTTCACCACTCAAAGCATCTAAGACAGGAGAGAGAGTGTTATAATGCGAAGATGTACACAATCTACTCTGATCTACTGTAAGGGTATGTCTAAGCTAAGGAGACCACACTAGCATAGCTAGGTCCCTGTAGCTACAACGGCATAACCCTATATTGTGGATGCAGCCTACACGGACACAATGAGTTTTTCCATTAGTGTCGGAACACCACCGCCCTGAGCGATGGCAACTACGTCAACTCCGCTATCAACGTAGCACATTTACCTTGGGGTTAGGTTGGCATCGCTACAGTGCTCAGGAGTGTTTGGTTTGGTTTTGGGTTTTTTCGCATGCCTGGCAGATGTAGTTATGTCGATCTAGCCCTAAATGTAGACCAGACCTGAGTGACTCCCTGTTTTTGAATATGCATTTAACAACAGATGGCAGAGCTGAAGGTGCAGTTGGTTTAGTTTCCCTGAAGGGTGGGACTCAGTTTCTGAAAGTTTGGAAACCACTGCTTTCAAAGAGCTTTCAAGCTCTTCTGGCAAAGCCAGAACAAAGAGATTACCTTTAAAAACTTCTCTAGTTACTTTTTTTATTTGTTCCTGAAAAAACAAAAACTGGTGGAGGAAACTAAATGAAGATTAAAGGAAAATAAAATGCCATCATTGATGTAATGCTGACCTTTGAGTGAGAACCAGCACTCAAATGTCAGGAAATTCCCAAAGCTGAAGTTGCTTTGGTAACGTTAAGTCAGTCATATGGTATATATGCAGCATGGTCTATTCCTTTCCCCCCTGTTAAATGTAAACCACAGTGCAATATACTGCAACCAGAAAATACACAGGATGTGCTTTGTGACAGAGATAACATCACCAGGGCATACCTTCACTTTGAAATGTATTCACTTCTTAGTGTTTGATCTTGCAAGCTTAACATTGCATTAACTTTCGTTTTCCCCCCGCATCCACACATAATGAATGCTTCCATTGTTTTATGAGTGTTAGGTTATAAAAATCCTCCCCTCCTTCATCCCCCACACAAACAGACATCAGAGATTACATTACTGCAAAAAAAATGTTTCAAAGACTGATATTCAGAGTCAACGTTGCTGTGTAAGAAACAATATTTATAACAGATGACCTTTAAATTCTCTTAACAAGCTTGATAAGACTAATTCCTGCATCTGAATTCCAAGCATGTGTGTCTACTTAAGTTTCCTGTTGCCAGTAAAATAGCAATATTTATGACACCAAACAAACTTTTGTTTAATTGTATTTAAAACTAAAAAACACTTCCTTTTTAATCCAGCCACTGATCATGAAGCTGTTTGAGTTGTCCCTTCCTCCCCTTCAATGCTGGGACAGAGCAAAACCTTCAGCATATCACATTATGGGTTGCTGTTTGCAGCAACTTTATGACAGCCTGTGGCATATTCTGTTGCCAGCTTCAAGGTCCTTGTCTTAGATGTATGTTGTATTTCAGCTTGTAGGGCTTGATTGCAGAAACCAGTGTAGGGCCCCACATGGGTGCAAGGGGCCTGCCCACACAGATAATCTTGCAGGGTCAGGGCCAAGGCTTGTATCTTTTTTTTTTCTTCCCAGTTGGAGGTAGGGCTGTGGCCCTTTGCAAATATAAAATTGTCTTTAAAGCTGACGGGTCTGTAATTTAAACAGAAGAGAAGTCATTCATTTTGCAGGGCATTTAAATAAGTGGACAGGCCTGACCGTTTTTCCCTCTTAGGGTGAAATAGTGAAGAAATATACCCAGCTCAATCCTAAAACCTATGAGGACAGAATAGGATTGATTCTCAAGATGTGTATGGAGGCTGCATCAGAAGCTGTAAATCTGAACTGCAGAATTTTGGGAGTGGGTAAGTTAATGAATATTGAATTTTTCTTCCAAGACTTTAAACACTAAACGAGATTGTTCCAGTTGTGTTAAAAAATGGATCCCGGGCATTTTCACAGCTTTTATATTGACAGTTTTATTCCTTTATTTAGTGCATATGATAAGGGATGCTTTTTAAATGCATGTGAAAATGAGGGGCTGAAAACACAGACTAGAGTCAGCCCTCTCTGAGTAGAAACTGTGAAAGCTATCCACGAAGCTATGCCAATGCACCTCAGTCCCAACCTACAACCCCACAGTATTCCCAGAACTGGTCATTTCCTAAGAAGAACTTCTCATTCATGCTGATTTCTGTGGCATTTGATTCTAGGGCCATGATTCTGAATAGCACTGCCTGGCTGGTGTTGCTGAGGAGATACAGCCCTGAGGGTGGTGGGTGGCAAAGGTGGTTTTTTAACCTACCTTGACGTAGGGGCCCAGCCCCAGAATTTGGAAAGCATAAGTTAGAGCAGCCCCTGAAACTGCCACCGCTGACAGACACTTCCTACAGCTGTCTGTGGCGAATAACTTGGGTGCCAAGCCCCTTGACTCACCAGAGCAGCATAAAGAGGCCAAAACACAGTCCAGAAGGGATGCTTATGTCCACAGAGCTGGAAGGCAAGATAGTTTTTCATTTGCTATTTCAATTACACTGTAGCAGAAACCCATTTTAAATTATTTTGTTTATACTGTAACCGGTCCCAGCTTCATTCTGCTTAATGACTGACTAAAAGCTTTGTTCTGAAACATTTATTTTAGTGGAAAGGATTCTGTTTAACCAGAATATTAGAACCTCGTTCCATTTTGGCCAAAGACAAGTTTTGCTCTAAAACCAAAATTCTGATTAAATCACATGGTAGAAAAATATTACTGTCAACTCTTGAAAATTCTTATTTGCCATAATGAGCCTGGAAAAACTTCAGTGGTGAGTACATAAAAGCAAAAGAAGCAATGTACACGTGTGTGATCCAGATCCCTGAACTGAAGGATTACAAAAAGGCAATTTATAAATTCTTTATTGCCAGAGAGAACTTTTTTGAGAAAATTCAATCTTAAATTATTATACTACTACGTTAAATAACGGAATCTTTCAGAATAATGTCAGTGAACAAAAGGTCCTGTTTGACATCTGATGTTTCATTTGGACTAAAAGTTTTCTGTACTTGGCCTCAAAGAATTAGTTTGTGCTGAAGAATTCACTTTAATATAAAACAGTTGTGAGGAGTCATTGAGAAGTCATCATTCTTAAGAAAATAAAATGCTATTTTTCTACACATGACAATCCCAAAGAAAGAGATGTATTTTGTACTTCAGTTCAGTACTTTGTTCTCAGTCATCAAGTTCAAATGAGCCTTGATGTAACTTTGGAGCTGTTGTAATCTTAATGATGATTTTTGTTGTTTTGTCATTATTAAAATAAAATTGGAAATAAAAGAAATTCAAATAACTTGTTAGATGTGACGTGAAATCGAAAGAATTATAGAACACCTGCAATGATGTTTTTGGGATATTCTGACTTCCATTTAAACAAATGGCAAAGGGACATTAGGGTTATTTTTCATGTTATGGAGTGCACACTTCTGAGTTCACCTCAGCTATTCAAGTAATAATACATGCCACCCACAGCAGTAAGCTACAAGGCAAGGCCTCTTCTGCTTCTGGTATTGCAAAGTGTTTTCAAAGTTCTTATTAGATCTTCTCTTATAACCTACACAATATAAATATCATCAGTCACTTAAAAAAATAAATGCACAGTGGGCTAATTCCTGCGCAGTTACAGCTGTGTATCCTTCACTGAACTTAACTTGGGTTGCATAGATGGTAACTGAGAGCAGAATTCTTTGCTATGTTGGAAAAACAGGACTTACCTGAAAAGTATCCTCCAGCGCTATTTATGGTCGATGTGATGTCACCAGCACAATGCCTGCCGGGCCATCACGCCAAGATGGCTGGCCATTTGCGAACATGAAAAATGGTAACTTGTTGAAATGCCCTAAAGGGAATCGTAACTTTTTTCAGAACATATTTGTGAATCATCTTTCTGGCAGACACTGTGAACCAAATTCTGGGCTGACTTACTCCCCGTGTACTGGGAGTTCATGTGGATGTAAGTCCATGTAGAATTTACCCCTGTATCTATAACTCCTTATTTTGTACTTAAATACTGCAGTGCAAAAGATCACACATTAAGTGAGACTATCCAAGACACAGCCAGATTCAGCCCTGCTGTTATCTTACTGATGTTCGACATTAAGGATGAATTTGGTCCAGCAGGACAAACAGAGACCAGGTGTAAATAGGTCCAGCACCTCTGGAAGTCTCCTGGCCAAATTCAGCAGTGACTTAAACAGTGGCAAACTTCCGACGTTGAGTGTAAGGTGGTCAGATATTAGGTGTTAGTAACCAAATGGTGTGACTTGCATGGGTGTGGCATTCAGTGGGTGTGCAAGCGACGTGTAATTTACATGCTGAAAGGGAGGAGAGATGTTAGAAATAGCATCTTATAAGATAAAAGGGTTAATTTCTCCAGTGCTGTGTGCCTTGTCACCCTGCACACCTGTGCAGTGTGTGTGTCAGATGCTACCAGATCAGAGTGGTATTGTGGTACATCCACTTCATTCAGGTGCAAATGATGACCCAAGGTGCAGGGCAGTGGAAAATCAGACCCAAAGAGTGTGGGCCTGATCCTTCTCTTCCACTTGTTGTTGGCTCTGTGTGTGTGAGAGGCTGTTTTATTTTATCTCCTCCTCTTAGTTGCATTTCCTGTCACATTTCCCTTTCCTCCTCCTTGTGCAAGTTGTACTCATTTTGCACAGCTACTGAATATTAACCCAGTGCAAGCTGCACTATGTACACCTATTTTTTGTGATGAGACTTGCACAGCTGCTTATGTCACTGCTGAATTGGACGCAGAATCATAGCTGTAATGCTGAGTTTAGTTGACTTGTCATGTGACTTTTCGTAACTTTTTTTTATCATTATTGGACTGATTTTTCAGAGGTGCTCAACAATCAAACCACATGTGAATTTGTAATCCTGGTCTGTGGATTTCTGGGCGATACCATTTTTGGAGTGTTCTAATTAATCAAAATTAAATAAACCCTTATAATAATAGAAAGCTGTCCTTTCCCCTTTCATCCTACAACTCTCAGTAGAGGGACTGTTGCAAAGGGTAATGTGGACGCTGATGGAAGTGAGCACTCCAGCGTTTAACAAAACCTTTGGATATTTTCCCCAAGTAGGAACTATTTAAACAAACCTGTTGGGCCTGATTCTGATGTAACTCCATTGATTTCTGTGGGTCACTCCTGATTTACATTGGTGAGAGATCAAAATCAGGCCCATTAAACTTTTAATTGGCGACTTAAATATTATTAGCTACCAAAGACCCTATTGTCCTTGCACAAATTAACTATCATAGTGAGTTATCTTTGCTCAATATCTGACTAATGATTTTCTGCTGAACGTTACTTTCCTGTACAATGCATGAATTTATACCCGTGACTTAACTCTTAATCCTTGTATCCAGTGGTTCCTGCTATGTTACGTGTGTGAATGGATTCTGCACTGATTAAATAATGGATTTTCTGTGCCAAGCAAATCTGTTTTCTGAAGCTGCATTCCAGGGTAACCAAGTTAACTGGCTAACATAACCCCAGCAAAATACTAGTCTTAGTGTGGGTTTACAAAACAAGACATCATAAATTAATGCAGGTGCTAAACATCATTACAATTTAACAATATAAAAATTTTGCATACTGCAGCTACTTAAAATGTTACTAGCTGTTGAATTCATTGCGTATAACACTTGGCTGTTTTGGGAGTATGGTTACACATTCTGCTGTATGCATTGTACTGTGGTGAAGAAAATGTAAGTAGTAGTTTGAAAATTTTTGTAGCTTTCAAGCAATTTCTTCTGCATATCTCCATGCTGTAACAAGACATGTTCCCTCTAATTGGGTAGTTTTAGATAAGCATTTTTGTTGGCTTTCTACTACACCCAGCGCCAGTCTGTCTCTGCTGGATATGTTGGAAATCAATAATAACCTTGGCCATAAAGTATGCCTTCTCTCAGCTAAAGCCCTCTTTCATGCATAATGGGGATCATTTATATTTGGCCTTATGTCCAAGTTTCAACCAGTTGGATTTGATTTAAAAAACCCACACACCATATATATATATAGTGGTGGGAACCTCTGATAAATGGATGCATGATTCTTTTCCCTACCCATTTGACTGCCTCACCTGCACTCTGCCCACTATTCCAACACTGGCAGGACTATTTTATTATTTAATTACATTACAGTCCCAACTAGCCTGCCTAATCAGTGTTAGGGCCCCATTGAATGAGGTGCCATACCTTCCAAACCTCTGAGCAGCTCCAAGCAACTTCTTTTTTTAGTATAACAGAATACCTTTGCAGAGAAATGTTTCCTCCTTCCCTTGACAAAAATGTTGAATTTCTCCCTCAGTTACACTAGTCTAAGGACCGGGGTCATCAGGAAGTATTCAGCTGTGCACCAGTGATAGGTTCATGATCCAGTACTTTGTAACGTATCAGAGCTAACAGTGGGAGCTTTATTTCATTAGGAAGATTAAAAAAAACAAACTCCATTTTCCAGTAAGATGTCAGATGTTGAAATCCAGATACTGTGATCTATGGAAGTAAAAATGCAAATTTAAGTAATTTTAGAGCTTTCTGTCTTAATTATAATTATCCTGTCCATCCAAAGTCTGGGGTGTGAAATAAGAGGAATAATTTAAAAAAAATTAACCATCAAGCACTTCGAAAATAATTTTCTGTAAAACGTGTGGCATATTCCAAACCCATGATTAGTGGTATAAACGTTTATTTGCACTCATTAAGGCTGACCTGTACAACTCACTCTTGTCATTGCCACTCATGAGGAATGCAGCTATTCCAAACTCATGCTGATATCACCTTTATATCATGCCACACCCTCATGCGTTCTCTGTATAAAAGCAGTGACCAAAATGTTTATACTTGCGTATCTTAAACTAGCCACCCTAGTATTTATTTAGACACCTCATTAAGTGGACCCACTTTCTGAGGTGCTTTGCACTCACGTTCCCACTAATGTCAGGAGTTTTCATCTGAGTATAACCATTGTCTTCTCAATATAAACTTGCCTAATAACTCTTTACTCTGTGTATTGTTCTCCAGGACAAGTCCCATTCAGACACGTACTTCGATACTTTACTATCCAAGTTCCACTGTTTCTCTTTCATTCATCCTAAATGTTTATTTATCCACTTTCAGCAGATTTTACTGATCGTAGAATCGTAGGACTGGAAGGGACCTCAAGAGATTATCTAGTCCAGTCCCCTGCACTCATGGCAGGATTAAGTACTATCTAAACCATCCCTGACAGGGGTTTGTCTAACCTGCTCTTAAAAGTCTCCTATGATGGAGATTCCACAACCTCCCTAGGGAATTTTTTCCAGTGCTTAACCACCCTGACAATTAGGAAATTTTTCCTTATGTCCAACCTAAACCTCCCTTGCTGCAATTTAAGCCCATTATTTCTGGTCCTATCCTCAGAGGTTAAGGAGAACAATTTTTCTCCCTCCTCCTTGTAACAACCTTTTATATACTTGAAAACAGTTATCACGTCCTCTCTGTCTTCTCTTCTCCAGACTAAACAAACCTAATTTTTTCAGTCTTCCCTCATAGGTCATGTTTTCTAGACTTTTAATAATTTTTGTTGCTCTTCTCTGGACTTTCTCCAGTTTGTTCACATCTTTCCTGAATGTAGTGACCAGAACTGGACATAATACTCCAGTTGAGGCCTAATCAGCGCAGAGTAGAGTGGAATAATTTTTTGTCATGTCTTGCTTACAACACTCTCGATAGTACATCCCAAAACTATGTTTGCTTTTTTTTGCAGTAGTGTTATACTCTTGATTCATATTTAGCTTGTGATCCACTCTGACCCCCAGATTCCTTTCTGCAGTACTCCTTCCTAGGCAGTCATTTCCAATTTTGTATGTGTGCAACAGATTGTTCCTTCCTGGATGGAGTACTTTGCATTTGTCCTTATTGAATTTCATCCTATTGACTTCAGACCATTTCTCCAGTTTGTCTAGATCATTTTGAATTTTAATACTATCCTCCAAAGCACTTGCAAGCCCTCCCAGTTTGGTATCGTCCGCACACTTAATAAGTGTACTCTGTATGCCATTATCTAAATCATTGATGAAGATATTGAACAGAACCAGAACTGATCCCTGCGGGACCCCACTTATTATGTCCTTCCAGCTTGACTGTGAACCACTGATAACTACTCTCTGGGAACGGTTTTTCCAACCAGTTTTGCACCCACCTTATAGTAGTTCCATCAAGGTTGTATTTCTCTAGTTTGTTTATGAGAAGGTCATGTGAGAAGTATCAAAAGCTTTACTAAAGTCAAGATATACCACAGCTACCACTTCTCCCCTATCCACAAGGCTTGTTACCCTGTCAAAGAAAGCTATCAGGTTGCTTTGACACAATTTGTTCTTGACAAATCCATGTTGACTGTTACTTATCACCTTATTATCTTCTAGGTGTTTGCAAATTGATTGCTTAATTATTTGCTCCATTATCTTTGCAGGTACAGAAGTTAAGCTGACTGATCTGTAATTCCCCGGGTTGTCCTTATTTCCCTTTTTATAGATTTGCCCTTTTCCAGTCCTCTGGAATCTCTCCCGTCTTCCATGACTTTTCGAAGATAATTGCTAATGGCTCAGATATCTCCTCAGTCACCTCCTTGAATTTCATCAGGCCCTGGTGACTTGAAGACATCTAACTTGTCTAAGACTTTGTCTGCATTACCACTTTTGTTGGTAAAACTTCTGTCTGTCAGGATCGTGAAAAAAACATACCCCTGACTTATATAAGTTTCACCAGCACAAGTGCTGGTGTGGACAGCGCTATGTCGGCAGGAGAGGCTTTCCTGCCGATATAGCTAACACTGCTCATTGGGGGTGATTTAATTATGCTGGCAGGAGAGCTGTTACATGGGAGACCGTAACAACGGCCTAGCTGTAGTGGTAAAGCTGTGCTGCTGCAAGGTCCATAATATACACATAGCCTAAATAATTTTTAACTTGTTCTTTCCCTATTTTAGTCTCTGATCCTACCTCATTTTCACTGGCATTCACTACATTAGACGTCCAGTCGCTACTAACCTTTTTGGTGAAAACTGAAACTAAAAAAGTCATTTAGCACTTCTGCCATTTCCACATTTTCTGTTACTGTTCCCCCCCCCCCCCAATTGAGTAACGGGCCTACCCTCTCCTTGGTCTTCCTCTTGCTTCTCATGTATTTATGGAATGTTTTCTTGTTACCCTTTATGTCTCTAGCTAGTTGAATCTTGTTTTGTGCCTTGGCCTTTCTAATTTTGTCTCTACATACTTGTGTTATTTGTTTATATTCATCCTTTGAAATTTGACCTCGTTTCCACTTTTTGTAGGTCTCTTTTTAGTTTCAGATTATTGACGATCTCCTGGTTAAGCCAGGGTGGTCTCTTGCCGTTCTTTCCTTCGCAGTGGGATAGTGTGCTCTTAATAATGTCTCTTTGAAAAACTGCCAACTCTCTGGAATTGTTTTTTCCCCCTAGACATGCTTCCCATGGGATCTTTCCTACCAACTCCCTGAGTTTGCTAAAGTCTGACTTCTTGAAATCCATTATCTTTATTGTGCTGTTTTCCCTCCTACCATTCCTTAGAATCATGAACTCAACCATTTCATAGTCTTTCACCTAAGCTGCCTTCCACTTCCAAATTCTCAGCCATTTCCTTCCTGTTTGTCAAAATCAAATCTAGAACAGCTTCTCCCCTAGTAACTTTCTCCACCTTCTGAAATAAAAAATTCTCTACAATACATTCCAAGAACTTGTTGGATAATCTGTGCCCTGAATTGCTGTGTTTCCAACAGATGTCTGAGTAGTTGAAGTCCCCCATCACCACCAAGTCCCGTGCTTTGGATTATTTTGTTAGTTGTTTAAAAAAAGACTCATCCACCTCTTCTTCCTGGTTAGATGGTCTGTAGTAGACCCCCTACAATGACATCACCCTTGTTTTTTACCCCTTTTATCCTTACCCAGATACTTTCAACAAGTCTGGGTTGCTTGACACTTATTTAAGATGGACAAGTCCTTGGTATTATACAGGTTTTTTTTTATATATGGCTAAGAAGAGGCACAGAAGCAATTTACCCAACACCGCCTAAAATAAGAGATTGAATTTTCAGCTGGTTAGCTGGGACACTGAGCACATATTGATAAGGATGCTAGAATTCTGTTAGTTCTTGTTTCATATCATAACTGATGTAATATATTGCAAGTGAGGCGTAGGACTGTTTTTGTTTAGATTCAGAAATATATCATGTAGGGTTAAAAATAAAAATCCTTTTCCTCACACAAGGAGCAAATCAATTGTAGTTCCAGAGTTATTTAGCCTTAGCCTTGATTTTTCTCTCGTGTGTTTTGGGGCTCAGGTATTTCTACAGGTGGACGGGTGAATCCCCGAGAAGGAATCGTGCTTCATTCCACAAAGCTCATTCAGGAGTGGAGTTCTGTTGATCTGAGGACCCCGATATCTGATGCTCTGCACTTGCCAGTCTGGGTGGACAATGATGGCAACTGTGCTGCTCTGGCAGAGAGAAAATTTGGGCATGGAAAAGGAGTGGAAAATTTTGTAACGCTAATCACTGGTACAGGTAAATGTGAACACAGAAATCAAAGCCCTGAATTCCTGCTGTCTTTATGTCACAAAACAGCTGCATTAGTGGGAGCCGTCCTCCAGTTCCAACACTGTAATATAATTCCCTTCCAGCTGCAGAAAATGTAGGTCCGATCTGGAGCTGTATGTAGTAGCTAAATGAGGAGCTCAGCTTGACACATCATCCTAGTAGCACATTGTGGCACTTTGATGGTGGGTCTGACATACTTGTTTGATTAAAAAGATATGGACCATTTACACGGGTGTCAGTCACCTCAGGTGAAGAATCCTCACTTGTTAAAAACAACAACAACAACAAAAAACCCAATCCAAACCATACTTGCATATGCATGGCTAGTATGTCTCTGCTAGTGTAGACTAGATGTTAAAAGACATAATCTGGGCTGATCTTGAGCTAAGGAACCTGACTTCACACATCCAATATCACCACCGCTGCATTGCGACATCCAGGCCTGCCCACTGCCATCCGAAATAGCGAGGGAAGAATGCTAATGAATAATAAACAATAGTTTGTAATGCAAACCACAATTTTATACTAGATCTAGGACAAGAATTCTAGATGCACCACATCTGAAGGATGTGATTTACTTTTAGTATTTACAAGTTTTGATAAGATTTTGCTTCTTAAGCATGAATTAAATATTTGTTTCATGCATAAAGAATTTAGGACTACTATGACAGCAATTATTAACTTGCAGGCTGAGACATAATGTCTACATGTGCCCCTCAATAACCCTCTTTGACTAAATATCTCATGAATAAATTATACCATGACATGACCAATGAACTATGCATTATAGGTGTAAGTTCACCTTACCATCCAGGGGCTGGGGAGACTTATGCATTTACTTGCACCAAGTGCATTAAGCAGAGAAGAGATTTGTAATGACTACACCTTTATTTGGTCCTAATACAGTGATGCACAGATACATGTATTTAACTCCTTCCCTTTTAAGATAAGGACATGTAAGTGCCCTGCTGAATCAAGACCATTATGTTACTGTTCTTTTACTATCAGAAATTTGTATATGCTTATAGGAATTGGAGGTGGAATCATTCATCAACATGAATTGATCCATGGAAGTTCCTTTTGTGCTGCTGAACTTGGACACATTGTGGTGTCTCTAGAAGGACCAGAGTGCCTATGTGGGAGCCATGGATGTATAGAAGCATATGCCTCTGGAATAGCCTTGCAGAGAGAAGCTAAAAAACTACATGATGGTAGGTGTATTTTTTACCCTCTTTTTAATGTAATTGTTCAATCTTCTATAATGCAGCAATTAAATGCAAAGAGCGTCCGGCCTAAAATGGCATTTTAGGCATGCCACTGGGGCAGCCTTAAAAGTTACCTTCCTTTTTACAGTTCAGTAACATAGATTCACACACCCTGTTGTATCGTTATTCCAACTGCAGATTTGTTATTAATGTTTCCCTCCGGGCTTTCTCTTCACCCCAAACAGAGGATCTGTTGTTAGTGGGCGGAATGTCAGTGAAGACGGAAGAGACCATTAGTGCTGTGCATCTCATTCAGGCAGCTAAACTTGGGAATGCAAAGGCTGACAGCATTCTCAGAACAGGTAAGAACCTAGACCTAGGGTGGGAAGCCCACTTAGAACGAGAGAGAAATTCCCAGAGCTGTAGAATTGGTATTTCACCACAGCAGGCCAAATCCTCAGCGCAGCTGTGATGGTTTCTACAGAACTACACGTGAGTGAGGGATCTGGCCCTTTAGGCCTGGCAATCATGGATAGGAGCGGTACCAATGACTAGTGGGGAATTGTGAAGAGAATGGGCTAGTGATCCTGTCCTGTCTCCAACAAACTGTATTCTAGGACCGTGTTAGAGACTTGGTTAAACAGATTACAGATTGCATGGTCATGGGACCCTTCGCTATTTCTTTTGGGATTTCCTGCTCCAGGGGATTAGAATATTAAAACATCATGCTTTTCCTTTTCTTGTGGCAAGCAAAATAGCTCTGGCTTCACACTGAAAAAAAGGTCAGGTTCTGATAATTCAGTATTGGTATGAGAAATTATGGGACACTTCAGTGATGGGCCAATAAATATATATGCTAGGCAGCCAAAATGAAATGGTTTCTATGAAGCGTTGTTCCAGTTTATACAATACTTTACAATGCACAGTTTTTCTGAGTTTTCAAAAGAAGCATTAAATATAACCAGTTTCCTTACAGGTTTCAGAGTAGCAGCCGTGTTAGTCTGTATCCGCAAAAAGAACAGGAGTACTTGTGACACCTTAGAGACTAACAAATTTATTTGAGCATAAGCTTTCGTGGGCTACAGCCCACTTCATCGGATGCATAGACTGGAACATACAGCAAGAAGATATTTAAGAAGTTTCCTTACGTGTAACCAATATAGCAGAAGGAGGTAGAATAGCATTTTCTTTCCTTTGTTTCCCCAAGCACAGCAATATGTGTTGACTTACCTCTCTCATCTATATCATGGAATAACGTTACCTGGCTATAAACCATTGAATTTTTCTTTTACTCTCGAAAGAAAAGAGAATGATGAGCCCAAGTGTCCCAGCTAGCTGTCCTAGTATTATACACTAATACTTTCTCTCAAGAAAAGGAATACATTCTGTTGTAATTCTAGTGTTCTGGGCAGAAAATCATAAACGTCTGCCATATGGAATTAAAAGCTTTCCTGACCACAATATTAATTACTCCCGAGGGAATTCTGCACCAAAAAAGTTAAAAATTCTGTTCACAATATTTTTTAAATTCTGCAAATTTCATTTTGTCAATAAATAAATGTGGAGGCTCCAGCATGGCAGGGAGGAGCACAGGCCACTGGCTGCACAGAGGTGGGAGATCACCCTGCAGGGCCCCCCCCCCCCACCTCCTTGGAACATGGACTTGGCAGTGAGGTTGCACCTGACTCTGAGACAGCGCAAGGGCCGGGCCTGCCCCAGAAACACCCCGGAGCCCTGCCCCTCCGTGCCTGGCACACCAGGATCCAAGTGTGGAGGGGCTTAGTGTGGGGAGATCCAGGTGTGGGGTGAGAGGATTCTGTGTGGCCCAATCTCAATGCACAGGGGCTCATTGGGGTGTTCCAGGTGCAGGGGCAATGGGATGCTGCAGTGGGGTCCAGATGAAGGTGGTTGGGGCTCAACAGGTTTGGTCTAGGTGTGGGGGGATGGGGCTCAGAAGGTGGGGTCTGGGTGTAAGGGGCTCAGTGGGGGGGTTGGGTGCTGGGGGAGTAGGGCTTAGTGGGGTTTGGGTCCAGGTACCGCTGTTTGGGGCTCAGTGTGGTGGGGGGTTGGGTTCAGGGGGCTCATCAGGGTGTGTGGGGTGGTCTGGGTGCAGGGGTGGGGGTCCTGATGCAAGGGGTGAGGCTTGGTGGGATGAGGGTTCAGGTGTACGGTGACCAGATAGCAAGTGTGAAAAATCGGGACAGGGGGTGGGGGGTAATAGGCACCTATATAAGAAAAAGCCCCGAATATCGGGACTGTCCCTATAAAATCGGGACATCTGGTCATCTTATGTAGGGGACTCATGAGGGGTGTCTTGGTGCAGAGGGGGTGATGCTCGTCAGGAAGGTCTGGGTACAGGGGGGTCTGGATGCACCAGGGTTGGGCGGACCAGGGAGCAGCTCCCCATACAGTGACCCCTCCCACTGTGGCTGAGAAGCGATGGTGGCGGGAAGCGGGGTGTGTGTGTGTGTGGAGCTTCCTGCAGCCTGGAGAGGTTTCTGGGGGTGGGTCCTTGCAGGAAAAGAGGAGTTGAGACTGGCCCAGCATAGGAGCCACCGGCCGAGGTGTCCCTAGCCCTGCCCCTGTCCCCACTCCCTCCCCCACAGCGATTTACCTTTCCACCGGCTGCTCTGGGCTCCCGAAACAACATGCCCGCACTGCTGGAGAGAGGTGCGTGACTGCTCGTGCAGTTTCCCTTTGCTTCCCTGTCAGAAAGTCATTTTTCTGCAGGGAAGCAAAGAAATCTGTGGGGGACATAAATTCTGTGCACATGCAGTGGCGCAGAATTCCCCCAGGAGTAATTAATGTGTTTAGAGACACTAGGTCAGACCCTAATGTTCAGATTCTTCTGTGATATTGTCTTTTTGCTGTAATGGCTCTTTCCTTTGTTTTCACAGCTGGGACAGCTCTAGGCCTTGGCGTAGTGAATATCCTGCACACCATGAACCCCTCTCTAGTGATCCTTTCTGGAGTTTTAGCAGGCCATTACGTTAACATCGTCAAAGACGTGATCCGTCGGCAGGCTTTGTTCTCTGCTGAGACAGTGGATGTAGTTGTCTCAAATCTGGCGGACCCTGCTCTGCTTGGAGCTGCTAGCCTGGTGCTAGATTACAGTACACGCCGAATATACTAGGTACCTGGGGAAGTTCCAGAAATGGACAGTCCAGCTGTATAACTGTTCTGGAGGGTGGGGGAAATACTGTGCCCAAAGTATTTCCTGCTGACCATCAGCTTTATCTTCTGTAGTAAAGCAGACTAGTGTTTTAGGTAGTTAGTTACTACTTCAGTATTTCCTTATTGTAGTAATACCTCTTTGTATTTTTTTCTACATTTTAGCCAAGTTCAGATGACGTAATGTGCATTTCCATTTTTTTGTTCACCTCTGTAGCTTGGGAGCTCAGGTGTTGCTTAAGCGATGCTAGAAAGACTTATCCATAAGCACATTCCAGTGTTCTCCCGGGATATATTTGGTGAGGTGTGCCAAGTTCTAGACAACACTTGGGAACCTTGGTCCTGTCTCGTAACTATGTGAAACTAGAAAAGCCTGCAGACAAGGGCTGGTTTGTCTGACTCAGCTTTGAATTCCCTCGCCCTCACGCACAAGTGGATGTGCTGCAATCCTAACCCATAGGGCGTCATCCCGCTGGGTGGAAACAACACAGAGGTTGCCTCTCAGGAGACAACCCTGGCAGCCAGAGCTCCTCTCAGAGAAGGATTCTTTTTGTTGTTATTTATTTGTATTGTTGGTGCCGAGGGGTCCCAGTCAGGGATCGGGGCCCTGTTTGTGCAAAAGCAAAGCCTGTCCCTGTCCATATAAGCTTACACGATGCAACATGTGGCCAGACAAACGGGGGAGTGTGGGAGCAAGGTAGCAGAGTGTCATCTGTGCCTCCTCAGCAATTGCTTTTGGCAATGACCAGCAGTGAGTTATTTGAATTTGACCTGTTCCACTAATTTGGATGTAGGTTGGGGCGGATTTCAGTTTCTCCGGGTTGCTGGTCTGCCACAGCATGAGTCTGTCCCATGTTAGCATGCCAGGATTATTCACGCCTTTCGGCTGGACTACAGCAGTGCAATAGCCCTGGGCATGAAGCCATCAGCACTCAGGAAACTCCAGCTGGTACAGAACACTGCAGCACATCTCCTGGGAAACCCAGGCTACCCACAAGCACATCAGCCCTGCCCTCTGCTTCCTAAACCAGCTTCCTGGTATGGAATACTCAATCATGTTCAAGGTCGTGGCCCTTATCTTCAAAGTGCTCCGTGGCTTGAGCCCAAGGTGTCTAAAAGACTGCCTAAAGTTCTGGTATGAAGATCATGATTGACAACTGTGCTCTTCTGGCACAGTGAAACTTTCAACCCTACATATCAAGCTTCTCTGAGCAGGAGACACAGCCTTCGCACGAGCCGGCCAGAGACTGGAACAGACTCTACAAGAACTGAGACTATCACAAACCTCCCCACCTTCCGCTCCAAGCATCAGAGGCATTTCTTGGACCATGTCTTCTCTAACATAAATATGCACCCCCCCCCACCTTTTCCAGTATATCTGTGTGTATGCTAGTATAAAACTTCCAGAACAAAACACACTTCTCTGCATCGAGGGGGGTGAGAAAACCGCCATGTGACAGAGGTTAGTCCCCTGGCTTAATGCACTGCTGGAAGGTGTGCAGTCAAGCCCCTAGGAGCCAGGCATGTGACGTGGGCGCTGAACACCAGAGCAAAGAGAACAGTCTCTGCCCACAAGAATACGGCACTGAGCCTTTAGACTCCAACCCAAGGCTCAGGTGCTGAGTTCTGTTCTCTCTCTGACCACCCGTATCTATCCCAGAATGACACTGACCGCACCAGACTTGCCCAATGATGGGCACTGTTCTCTGTGAAGGAAACCATCAAGATTCTACACCTTCCAATGAGACCAAGGTCCTTGCAGGGCCCAGTGTGGCCTCCAAACCTGGTGGGGGGGTTCTCCCCCCCCCCTTTTTTTTTAATAGCAAGAGGACACTTAGCAGAGGATGGAGGGGGGAGCTATTCCCTTGTAGCATCCCCTCGACAAACAGTGGTGCTGTGAACGGGGGACAAATGGCTGCATGTGAGATCCTGCCTGCTGTTCACCAAAGTCCCCTCTCAGCTGCAGTTTGATGGGCACAGGGGGCTCAGTGTCACTCAGAGCTACAAGCGAGAGGGCTTGGCTTCCACTGAGACCTGGGTAGCCCAGGCTGTTGCAGACCAGAACCTCAATGAAGAACTTGTTCAGAGTAAGGTCCCTCCCAACAGGGGTGGTTTCACTGCCATTACTCAGGCTTGCTGCATATCGAGCTGGGTAAGGCATAGCTAGAGCACATCAGAACTAAAGCCAAGGAAGGAGCCATGGAGTTTAGTGATTGTATGGGACCAAACAAAGAAAAAACTGGAAGGGGAGGGAGGGTGGATGATAGGGTCAAAACAAGAGCATGGGTTGAGGATACTGAGCAGAGAAGCTTGCGTAGCACCCACCACTGCAAAGGAGTCTAAAGTGGCAGGGGACATTGCACTGAGCTGTGGGATAGGCAGGCTCCACTCACAGAGAACATCCTTGGCAGTGGCGGAGCTAGGTCCTAAGTGCAGGGGGAGCAAATCTAAAAAAGGTGGCCCCCCCTTGGCTCCTCCTCTGGCCGCTCCGCGCGCCCCCCCCCCCCCCGCCCCCCCCACCCGCCCCGCCCCCCCCCCCCCCTTGGCTCCTCCAGCCACGCTGCGGCCATGCTGCGCCCCCCCCCTCCTCGGAGGGGCTCGGTCCGGGAGGAGGGGGCCGGGGGCGGGCTGGCGGCGAGGGCTAGCGGCTCCCCCCAGCAGAGCAGCAGGCACAGCCTTTGGGGAGGCCGGAGGGCTCCTCATGGCAGAGGTGGGGGGAGAGCCGTACGGCTCCGGCCGCGTTCCGGGAATGGCGCCCTGGGGCTTGAGCCAGGCCGGAACCGCCGGGACCGGGCCGGCGCGCTCGGCCGGAGCTGCTGGGGCTGGGGCCGGCGCCCCTGGTCCCAAGCCGAGCCGGCACTGCTGGGGCCGGCCGGGGCCAGACTGGGCCATGCCGCGCCTCCCCAGAGCCCTCCTCCTCGCGTTCCCCCCCCCCCCGCCCCAGCTTACCTGCTGGCCTGCCCCTGCGTGTTTTCAGACTTCCTGTGAACATGTGATTCGCGGGAAGCAGTGGAGGGGGAGGCGCAGGGGGGGGGGCAGAGCGTTCAGAGGAGGGGGAAGTGAGCTAGGGGAGGAGTGGACAGCTGTGGGGCCCTTTTAGGTGCGGCCAGCCCTGCTCAGGCACCGCTTTTGAAAAATGTGATGGGGGAAGTGGCCGCTTCCCCTGCACCCCACTAGCTACGCTACTGAGCCCTGTGAGCTCCCTCCTCCTATGGTGGGGGATGCCAGCTGGGCCAGTGGCAGGAAGGTGACAGGGAGGCCTTGTGCCTGCAGCATGGTGTGCACAGATAAGGAGAGGTGGGGAGATGTGAAGCCAGAACCTCAGCAGGAGGAGCCACAGAGGGGGAAGTGTTGGGACTCAGTGAGCCACACCCAGCCCATGTCTGGGCTCATGGCTCCAAGGAGTTGCTGATTTATGAGCCTGCCAGGCCATGGAAGCCAGTTGGAAAGACAGCACTTAATGCAAGATGGGCCCTCAACCTGGAGCACAGGCCACCCTATCATCCTTAAACCAGCCTTGCAAAAGCACCCTGCAAACACATGGTCCAAGGCACAAAATGGCCTTGCCTGCCCTCTGCCCAGTGCTTAGGAATGGGGAAGCTGCCAGGACCATCTGTTCCTGTCCAACTCTCAGGCGTGGGAGGTAGGAGTTGCAAGACTGCTTTAAGCGTTCAGTCTGTGTTAGCTTGAGTGTAATTTCTGGGTCCAGTTGTACTATACGAGGCTGCAGTGTTGGTAGCCCCAGCAGTGGGGGAGAGAGCCCAATGGTGCTCCATAGTGCCACCTGCTGCTGGGCCAGGAATAGCAGCCAAAGGGCTCCTACCTAAGGGGTAGTTATGATGACAAAAGGCAAAGGAGAAGATATTTCATAAAAAGGGGGGGGATAAGGGCTGAAGAAAGGTTTGATCAGACCTGGGATTTCTTGACACCCTCTGCCCCCCACACAAAGTTTCTTCCCTTTTGGTGAACCTACTGAAGGGGTATTGCTGGGCAGCACTAGGGGATACACACAGTGGCATGCTAGTAAAGATCCAACATCTCAAAAGTGCCTAAATCCCATTGATTTCAATACTAGTGAGGGGCCTAGGTGCTTTAGAAAATCCCACCTGCTATCTGGCTCATCAGGAACCTAAATACCTTTAAAAATCTGGCCCCCAGTGACTTGGGCACATTCAAAAATGGGACTTAGATGCCTTTGAAACTGTTACTCTCTGTGATGATTGGGTCCCTAGCACCTCCACTGAGCAGGATCTATTCTGTCAGTGCAGCTGCTACAAACATTCTCCTGGGATTTTCCCTTTAGAAATCAGTGATGTTGCACAAAAAGAGTCTCTTCAAGTAAATAATTGGGTGGGGGCTTTGCTATAACAAGATGGTTCAGCTTTTGAATGGTGTTAAAGCACTTTCCAATGACTTGCTAATCTAGTATGCTGGAATTACAGCACGTTAGAGGGTATTGTTGCACTTGAATAAAAAACAAAAAAAAGGTATAAAGCTCACAACCCTCAGCAAGTAACATGGGGACAAGTGTTCTCTTGTGAAATGAGAGCTGTATGTCATGTCTGTTGTGTGGGATGCTGTGGAGTAGTCTGTGCAGTGTGACAGACTAGCTGCATGTATTGATTGTGTATCTTCATAGAATTTTCAAGCAGTTGCAGGTAAAGTCCTTAGTCAACAATGTTATGGAAAACTATTGATGCTACACTGAACTTCTACAAGGAACGTTCCTTTTTTAGACCAGCACCAGCATTATGTAGTAATGCGCTAGGAGCGCCAGTGAAAACACTGAAGACAAACATGGTCCTTGTCTATTTAGAGACATTTTTAACAGGTAAGCCATCTGTAACTTAATTGGTAATGAGAATCTAATTTATTCTCATTAAGGCACCTCCTACAAATGGTAAAAGCGTGTACTGATCCTTGCAGAATATGGTACTTTTACACCACACTGTTTCTATATAGCATCTCCATTGAAAACTGGTTTAGGAGGCTTGCTCACTCATACTGAGCAAGATGAGTGGATTTACTCATTCACACCAGTTATCATCCTACTGCTTATTGTAATTATACTTTAGGGTTTCTGGGTACTTGTTAAACTTTTAGTTGTTGGCTGGATAGTTCACACATTTCAATTGCAAAGTTGCATGAACTGGCACCCTGCCAGAGCTGTACTTTGTAACAGACAGACTGCCTGGATATTCAAAATGAAGTTTTAAATAAACACACATGGACTTTTTAAAGTTTTTTTTTTTAATTGCTTAATAAAGAGATTAAGCGTTATCCTTTCTTGTATCTCACTTTTTCTGTTTGTCCCTTGAACCTCCCTTCTCCTAACAGAAGGGAGTTGGTTGAACGCACCTGTACTCAGCCACCACCACCACCACCACCTAGTTCACTTGCCTTCCAGCTGTTCTACAAGGTAGTGGAAAGAACCAGCACTAGCTTGGGCTCTCAGTAATTGCTTCTACATAAGGAAGCGAACGTGGTTGGCAGTTGCGGTAGATCCATACATCCTGGCAGAGACAGAACAGTATGAATGAATCAAGTGTATATGCTTAAAGTGAACGACAGATTCTCCACGCTGGCCCTTTTATCATCTACATTTGGGCACTCTTAGGGAGCAATTGAAAATATTGGGAATTTTCCTCCAAAAGGCAAACAAGAGGGACTTGATGCAGTGATAAGCTCTTGCTCTACCTATCACACAAACTAGGGGCACTCAACACAACTGACAAGTGCTTTTCCATAGATCACTATTGTCCCCACCCCCACAGTATCTGCACACTTTAATGTTTAATGCCTTTATCCTACCACCACCCTAGTAAGGTCACTCCCTTTCCTCAGCCACCCCAGCTGTGCCTACAGGACAGAGAAGCATGAAGAGCAAGCCTACCAGCCTGCCCCTTCCCTATTGCTGGCAAGCAGCTGTCTCTGAAGGGGCAGGAAGGGAAAATAAGCAGGGGCTTCAATGTTAGATCAGCAGATTGTCTGTGGGCAGCATGGCCCTATAGCTGTACCTTTCCCCCAGAGCTTCCATCTGGCATGCTAGTTAGCCATGAGCCAGGATGGAACTAATGTTCCCAAATCAGTTTCAACTGGTGGTTGCAGGGAGGTTCTTAACTTCTTGAGATTAGAGCCATAGGGGGCTTTAAAGGTGCAGTCATTGCCATCAGGCAGCAAGGTGGATGTCCTCCTGCACAGCTGTCTGTCACATCACTAATTCCACCCACACTGGGTGAGGCTAGTGCTTTAGATCTTCTTCAGCTGCCACTCTAACGAGGCTAGAAGTTTGCTCCTGGACACTATCTGGATTGAAAATGTGGGGAAGCTACCTCTGTCTATGAAAGAGGACACACGTAACTGTTTAACAGACCTTTAATATCAGTACAGTTGAGAGTGACATCTCAGTGCACAAGAGTACAGAGAGACTACAGTTCTGGAGGTTCTCTCTTCCCATTTGGGACAGAGGAAGGAAACATGAGGAAGAACATGCAATCACAAACAATGATCAACTCTAGATACTTCATGAGGTTTGGTCCAAAAAAAACAAAAAAAAAAAACACCACACATTTAAACATAATTAATCCAATTACTGCAAACACAGCTTCTCTGAGTAAGGTTAAGATATTGCATTTGTAGTGTTTCCATTGTGCTTTTCCTTCAGCGAACCAGTGGAGCCTGCTTGAGTGAAATAAGGATGGAGCGCATGCGGGACACATCTTTTGCCTGCTTACTAGACTTGGGATTAAAGTCACAGAGCCGAGCCACACGTTCCCACTCTGTGCCTGGGGAAGTTTCTTCCACATCATTCACAAAGGCTTCTTCAGCTGCCCTAGAAGCAATGCAATACTACATGTTAATGTCGGATCTGTACACCCCCCGGAAGCCACTCCTTTCCCTCCATAGACTATGGTTCAATTTTACATGTTTCATAGGAGAATGTAACCTGACAGCTGCTTGAGAACATTAAGGCTTGTTAAGCTCCCCTACCCCAACCTTGGAGATGAACAGGTTGCAGTAATCTGCTATGCACAAGCAGTGCAGAAAATTGCTGTGTAAAATGTTGGAATACAGGTGTTTGGTTTAAGAGTAGTCAATCAATTGTGGCCTAAGTACGCACACAAGTAAAAGTTTCAGGCACTCTGACGTAGGCATTTAATTTAAAGCAATGCCTTGGTACATTAACTATTGTTTTTAAGCCTTCAACTCTTACCAGTTTGCTTTGGATATTTGCCAACTGGAAGTTTACCATCTACTGAAGTGCAAGATTGAGGACTAACTTCCATTTGGTTTACAGATACTCCAAGGCGTGCAGGCCATCGTAAAACTGTGTGCTGATGGTTCCCAATGGTGTAGAGAAGCAGCGTGGATCGAAGAGGAATTTAAGTCATAGCTGCCATGCTTGCATCTGCTATAGACTTACGAGGCATGTTTTGGCAAAGGGGAGGGTTACACCGAGTTCCGCTAAAAGGAGAACACTTCCCCTGCTTTT